CCTAAACCCGAACCCCCAAAACCCTAAACCCCAAACCCCTAAACCCCAAGCATCGTCTGAAGATGCATCCATGGCTCGGGCGCCTCCCGGAGTACCACCTGCCGGTGTCAGCTGCGCTTCGGATGTGCAATCGCAGCTTTAGCTTCTCATTATACTATACTATACGATACTATACTATACTATACTATGCAATACTATACTATACTATACTATACTATACTATATTATACTATACTATACGAAACTATACTATTATTTACTATACTATACTATAACTTACTACACTTTACTATACTATCAGGCGATTCAGTCTTTAAGGAGTCCAAGGCTGCATGTGATGTGCCTGGTACTCCTCTTCGAGACGCATCGCCAGCCGCTCCCGAGACTCGTTCTCTCTCTCGATCCGAAGCTCTTCTGCCAGGCGCGCCTGATTACGTGAATATTATATACTATGAATATATATATATATATATACATATTATGTTTTTATATTATATTGCAATTATTGTGTTATACTATACCAGGATACCATATGTTGGTATGTCAGCAGGCAAATTAAAGGGCAACTAGCACTCCTCGTTCCACTCGCGAATGCGATTTTGGCCATGCAAGCAGAGTTTGCGCTCTTTCGGCTGCAGCCGCTGGTCGTGGGAAGCCTCCAGCAATAAATCCTGAGTCCAAGGACTGTGTGCGGACTGCTCTTGAGCTATGAATATACTATATCATAGTATATCCAGTTGTTTTATGCTATACTATACCATCTCTTCTACCGGAGCATATTACAGCATATTTTTAAGTATGACAAACTGCTTGCTGAGGCTCTGCAAGACCGCTCTGGACCAACTCGAGCATGAACTCTTCCCCAAAGGAGATTTCCAGCAGGACCCTTAAGGCCGATGACCTGGGCTCTTGTTAAGGGATTTGATTCAAGTTACCATAATAGGGCTTAGGGTTTAGGTGGATTTAAGTTACCATAATAGGGATCTATAGTAAATAATAGGATTTCCTTATTATGGCAACTTAAATTGAAGTCCCTTAACCAGAGCCCAGGGACCGGACGGTGCAGATCTCGGTTCTGGAAGCCGCCGCGAGGAGGCTGTCTTTCATGGAAGGCCTCTCTTCCTCCTCCTCTTTCTCCTCGGCCTCGGACGTCGCCTTGCTTCCAGCTCGGCGCCTCCTCAAGGCCTGGGGCTCCTCGTCCTCATCATCCTTCGGGGGCGAAGAGAGACAGATGGGGCCTTAGGCTTCGTAGCAGTGGCAGATGGCAGGGGTCTTAAAGCAGAGCATAGGAGGAGCACCCGAATTTCCGAAAGCACCAGAGCAAGGGTAGAAGTAGCTGATTTAAATTCCTCAACCACGCCCCGGAGCCAAGCACCGAAGGCGGCGCAATTCACACTGCTCTTCACATCTGGTATGGCTGTTGCAGAGAACAGAGAAGGCTCACGAATGGCACCCTGGACCGACTGAGAACCCACGAGTGCCCGGATGTGCGAACCTCGGTGAGCTTCCTGGTCAAGTCCACGGAAACGTACGCCCAGATGGGAGCTCGCATCTCAGGCTCTCGAGCAATGCCTGCGCTGCGGCTGACTGCGGGGACTGCGGGGAGGCGTCTTCTGGGCCAAACACTGCCCTCTGTTCCGGAATGACTACTCAGGTCTGAATAGCTGCAAATCTATGTGAAGTGCATTTCTGTTTCTGCCCCATCCTGCGAGAGCTACCAGCGCTCGGGTGCGAACAGCGCTTGGCTGGGATCTGAGCGTGTTAGTGAGAAGATGCTCCCTGGAGGCCGCATCGTGCCAGACGAAGTGCGGACCTGTCGGCTGCCAAGTCAATGCTCCCAGCCTTGGTTCATAAGTAGCCTCTTTATAATAAGGGTACCGCTTTTTCCTACAATACAAAATAGTATATATAATAACATAATACCTAGCAGCACGCCTAACGCACTCTCCCGGACGTCGGCTGGCTCCGTTGGCTCGATGCTCTCGCAGAGACTCCCCCAAATACGAGTGTTGCCAAAGAACAGCTCGGGGCTTTCACAGACGGTAGCTGCACTCCAGAGGGCTCGGAAGACTTCGATGCGCTGCGGCGCTCCCCGGCCTCTTCCAGCCGCCTGTCCCAAAAGGTTCCGGACGTCCTCAAACTCCTCCTTTTGGAAGGACGCAACGGCCAGACCCGTGAGTGCCAACAAGGCCTTCTCGCGGACTTCGCCGGAAGACTCCTGAACCACTCGGACGAGCCTGCTTCGCACCTGTCCAAGTCAAACCTCTTTGAGGGGGATCAACTCCCAGGCGACTACTTAGCATAAACTAATGGCAACAGATAGTGATTCTGCATATATGTATGTATACATACATAGGTACAAGAGAATATGAAATCACGGTATTTTGCGTAATAAGGTCACCTAAAGAGGGACGAAGGCTGGCCTCTTCGCTAAGCAAGAGTGCTTCGCAATTTCGGGCAGATGAAGTGAGATGCACGAAGACGGCCAAAGTGAGAATCTGCGCCAACTCTGGCTGGGAGTCCTCCAAGGACCAAAGAAGCACCTTCTGCACCTGGGCTTAGCTGCTGAACTCAGACGGAACTGTAAGCCCCGTAAGAAAAACTGTATACCCGCGGAGCTAGTACTAGTACTAGTACTATAGTAGTAGTAGTAGTAGTAGTAGTAGCAGCAGTAGTAGTAGTAGTAGCAGCAGTAGTAGTAGTAGTAGGAGGAGGAGGAGGAGGAGCGGTAAGAGCAACAGCCACCGAGTCGCCTCCTCGTCCCTCCAGAGGACCTCTCGCAAGCCAGTGGAAGCGACATCTCGCAGCTTAAGGAGGGCCAGCTTCCGATCCACGTGGATAGGAGGCTTGGTCGGCTTTCCCTTTGACTCCTCTTTCTCCTTCTTCTTCTTGCCTCAAGAATGCAAGCAGAAGCCCGAACGCAACCAAGAAAGACTATAGTAAGACTTACGAGTACAATGTAGTGTGTATGTACGTACGTTTGCATGTGTGTATGTATGTATGTATGTATGTATGTATGTATGTATGTATGTATGTATGCATGCATGCATGCATGCATGTATGTGAGTATGCATGTACGTGGGTATAGTATCTTTAAGATGTTCCCTCCATCGCTCTGGCTGAGACAGGATCTTCTCTTACCGTAGGGTCTCTTGCTAGACATGGGTTTTAGCAGATCCGGCTTTGGCCGGGCTCGACCTGGCGTGGCTTGGCAGTAAGCCTGGACACTCTTAAACACACTACGTATAGCAGCGTATGTATGTACTTATGTGCCGCATATTAATCTATAGTGGCATATTGCACAGCCCAGTCCTCTGCTGGAAAGACTCTACGTACCCTACACTCTAATACCCCAAACTCTAAAACCCTGAACCCTAAGCTCTAAACCCTAAAGCCCTGTAGTGCCGTTATAATTAGTAACCTCGTAGATCCCTTGAAGGAATCCGAAAAAGGAGCCCTAAATCCCCGCAAAATCCCTAAACCCTAAACCCCTAATTAAACCCTAAACCCTAAACCCTAACCCCTGAACCCTAAACCCCAAAACCCTTAACCCTAAACCCATAAAGAGAGGCCTCGGAGCGACTCCTTGGCCTCTGTGCGCAGAGACTCGAGCAGCTTCTCACGCTCATCACTCCGCGCCCAGCTGTTCATGGGTTATAGGGGTTATAGGGGTTTAGGGGTTTAGGGTCTATAGAGTTTAGGGTTTAGGGTCTCGGGAAGTTTAGGGTTCAGGGGTTTAGGGTTTAGGGTTAAGGGTTTCGGGAAGTTTGGGGTTTAGGGGGGGCTTATGAGGGTCCTAACAAAGAGGGCTCTCATAGGTTAGACATCATGATACCGTTAAGGGGCACTGCTTTGCCGATTGCCGTGAGGTGCCACTGGCTATTTAATTGCTTTTGCTGTTCTTCACAATTAGTCCATGCTGGCGACATGCCACAGTCACGATTCCAGTGTGCTTGAGGAGGATTCGGAGTGAGGCCTTCGAAATGTTGGACAGTGCCATGATAACCCATGCTGCGCCGGAGTCTGATAGCTCTACCTTTTCAATCGATGCAATCTGCTGAGTTCGTTAACACATCTACACATCTCCCTGCACCATCTTGGCCTATCGAACCGAAACTTGCTCAGAGCAAACACTTGCCAAGATGGCAGTGGTGGAGATGCTCGGGCGCTAGTGTGTTTCACAGCGCGCCCTGCCCCTCAAGCTTTCGAGGTGCTCAACCCTGGGGAAGAATCAGCGGGTCCTGCAGACAAGCGAATGCGTGCAACAAGCAGTGGAGTGCAAGGCAATGGCTCCTGAACATTAGCTGATGCCGAGAGCTGGATGACCGGCGTTTGCTGGATCCACCTGGCATTGCCGTGGCCACACGGTCTTCAGGACTCAGAACTTAAACTGCATAGCTTCCAACCGCGCCTGTACTTCCTGCGCAGATTCTGCAGGATGCCGTCCATGGCCTGCCCACCACAACCAGGGCTAATTATACGTCCACTGCATCTCCCTGCGGAGTACAGCGCAACCACTTGGCACCAGCGCCTTGCTGTGCTGGGCCAAAGGCGTGTTCAGGTGGCAGGCAGCCAGGCCCTGATGTGCACAGGTTCATACAAAGGCACATATAGCCAGAAGTCACCATTTACTCTGTTATGTATGTGTGTCGGTGCGCATGTATGTATGTATGTATGTATGTAAGTATGTATGTAACTATGTATGTAACTATGCATGTATGTGTGTGTGTATGTGTGTATGTGTGTATGTATGTAAGTATGTATGTATGTATGTATGTAGGTAGGTAGGTAGGTAGGTAGGTAGGTAGGTGAATAGGTATGTATCTAGGTATGTATGCATGCATGCATGCATGCATGCATGGATGTATGCATGTACGGTAGTGTGTGTGTGTGTATGCGTGTAATTATGAATGCATGCATGCATATACACACACACA